CACCTCAACTCAGAGGCAGAGCCAGGATAAAAACATGGTTCGGATAAAAACTATTGAATTCGGTCGAACTCACATCCTGCACCCTACCTCCGCCCCTGTCTCAACTTTAACTAGGATATAAATAAATAAGTAAGTAAGCCAGCACTCAAGTCAAAAAGAATTTTAGAATGATCCAAATTGATGGGGTGGTTGAAAATTAACAATTTATCGGGCCCGCCTAAAATGGTGTCTTTTGTGTTCATGAACATGTGGTTTGACCAGAATAGAATATATATGTCTAACTAAATGGAATATGTATGTCTAACTAGGCTTTTGTGTTTTCTCCTTTGATGGGTCCTTAATTTTGACACATTTTTGGCCAGCAACCTTTGAAAGTTTGGCTAAATTTAGGTCTCCTTTTCAATGCATTTTCCACAAACAAGAAAATAATATACACATTGATATGGTCGGCGAATTATCAAAAATAGACTACTATGAAGAACAGATTTGGAATAATAATAAAGTTGTCTTCGTAAGACCTATATGTCACAAGTTAAAGTCGTGAAAATAGTTATTGCTTGCATTATACTAGGTTGCCTACATCATACTCCGATCTCTTGAGGTGCGAGCTTTTTCTGGACCCTATATAATTATGAAATACTTTATGCATCGTCCTGCTTTTTATCCTTTATTAATGATTTACAAATTCTTGCGCACTTTTCAAGAGGTTTTGAGTTTGAATATTGTGAATAAAAATCTTCTGTAAGGAGCACTTTACTTTCTTTAATGCGTGACACGTATCTGTAAGGAGCACTTTACTTTCTTTAATGCGTGACACGTATTTGGATTATTCAGGCCAATAAATTTTAGACACTAATTGATTAAACCAGAAATAAAAAAAAGAGCATTTTACCCACAAATGACATTTAGCTTTAAAAGCAGAAGAGAAAAAGGAGAACTCTAATGTTGTTAATGATTTTCTTCATTTTTTTCTTATGGAAATAGAAGAGATTCGACCATATAATATTAGTTTAGAAAATGACTAAAATTCAAATTCTTGATCTTATAAATTGAATTATGACATCCTAACTGTTTAAATATTCTTGAAGACATAAAGCTATCATTGATTGTAGCTTCAGTTTTTGGTCGCCAGTGACTTATTTAGACCAATTCTTAGCGAGTTTAATTTCTATGCACTAATAATAAATAATTTAAAAAATAAGACAAATAGTTTTTTACAGCCACTTAAATTGTACTAATCGTATTAAAAATTCAAAACATTAGTAGTTGAGATAATTTAAATCCATAGCTAAATGGGTAATTTAGGCATAGTTTTCCAGATTTCGGTACGGAACACATCATGAAATTGTTGTCGCGTTTAAGCCCAAAACCAGTGGGAGTTCCCACCAAATGAATGGTTAATCATTTTGAAAAATATTATTGAGCAACAATTAGTGTTATGAAAAAACTGTTTTTACTCAAAAGTATTATTTTTTATTATTAAAAACTTGGTCAAACATCTTAACTTTGAGGAAAAAATACTTTTGGCAAAAAATAAGCTTGGCCAAATAAGATATAAGTAAAAAGAAGGGAACCTACCAACTATGTACATTTATAAGTAGCTCATTACAAAAATTGGCCAATTCATAAAATATTACTAATATTAGCCAATTAGCTATTTGTAGCAAAAAAGTCAAATTTTTGCTTTCTTTTGAGTGTTGTTATTAGAATAGATTGGGTACATCTTAATGAGCTTGAATCTCAGTGTTGGGATGATTTAGTGAAGTTTTGAGGTGGCTTGAATTGAAAATTCGAAGTAAAAACTGAACATGAAAAAAATGATATGTGTATGAAATTTTTACATTCCTATTCCATATAGGAAACTATATTACCCTCAATGTTTAAGGTTTGATTTTATTACATTTAGTATACCTAATTACCAATTCTATATCATAATGTGTTTTAACTGTACAATTAATGTACCGTATATCACTCCTTAATTAACGCTACCGTATATTCCTCCAAATCCTCCCCCCCCCCCCNTCTCTCTCCCAAACCCACACCCTCACCCACGTATCTCCCCACACCCACGTTTCAAACCCATTAATCTCTCTGCTAAAACCAGAGAAACATATGTAACACCCTTCCATTAACGTCCAATTTCAAGCCTTTTTCTTCTAAAACCAGTCACAATTGAAGTCAAATCTTCAAAGTTCATACACACATTTACCTTCAACTTCAAATTTTCTCAATGAAGAAGAACAAACCTTCAAAGAGACAAGAGAGCAACAATTCCACCATTGACAGCCATTAAAAAGCTTTGAAGCTTTGAATTCAAATTTGGGTTTTCAAAAATCATTATTTGTTTTGATTGGGTGTTGTTGTAAATAATTGGGAATATGTTTTGGAGTTTATATCTCAATTTTGAGGGGTTTTGGTGAAGATTTAGACTTGGTTTTGGCTGAATTTCAGATTGAAACTCGAAGAAGAAGAAGAAGAAGAAGAAGAAGACATGACATACATTATATTACAACAATTGTAGATAAATTGTAGATAAATTGTAGACTGTTTTTTGCAGAAGATTTGTAGAAGTTTTAGTCGTTTTTGATTTGTGAAAACAGAAAACAAAGCATCTACAATCAGAATACAAATAATCTACAATTTATCTACAAAATATCTACAAACTAGGTACATTGAATTTTAATATCCCAATTCCCATTCAATTATAGCTTAATTGGTATTTTCGACATAATTGCGTTTTTTTGCAGAAGATTTTGTAGAAGTTTTAGTCATTTTGGATTTGTGAAAACAGAAAATAATGCATCTACAATCAGCATACAAATAATCTACAATTCATCTACAAAATATATACAAACTGAGTATATTGAATTTTAATATCCCATTTTCCCATTCAATTGTAGTTTAATTGAGATTTTTGAATTGCGTTTTTTAGAAAATTTGTAGAAGTTTTAGCTGTTTTTATTTGTGAAAACATAAAATAAAACATCTACAATCAGAATACAAATAATCTACAATTTATCTACAAAATATCTACAAACTGGGTACATATTTGGAATCGACATGCTTCCCATGAAATGTATGTTTCACATTTTTTATACATATTTTTGTCCAAAACAGTACTAAATCATCCACTTTAATACAATTTTTATACAATGTTGTTCAACTTTCATACAATAGGTAAATGAATAAAAGATAAATAAATAAATAAACAACCGTCTACAATTTATCTACAATTTTCTACAATTTCTACAATATGTCTTCTTCTTCTTCGAGTTTCAATCTGAAATTCAGTCAAAACCAAGTCTAATCTTCACCAAAACCCCTAAAAATTGAGATATAAACTCCAAACCATATTCCCGATTATTTTCAACAACACCCAATCCGAACAAATAATGATTTTTGAAAACCCAAATTTGAATTCAAAGCTTACAAGCTTTTTAATGGCTGTCAATGGTGGAATTACTGCTCTCTTTTCATTTGCTTTGTATTACTGGAATTTGCGATTGAGAAATAGAGAGAGATGTAGAGAGAATTTCTGGAAACAGAGTGTATCGTAAAAACAGAGTATGAAAAATCTTGTTCTGCGTTGTGGATGATCAGAGTGAAGACGACGATAATTATGGAATGTGCGTGATTTGCGTTGGGGAAGATCTGGAAAATATTTAATTCCCCCTTTTAGCGCGCAAAATAAGGAATCATAAAGCTACAATTATTCCTTATTTAATGCATTGTATATATTAGGTAGAAATACTATTAGCATGAAGGGTAATAAACAAACTATAAACATATTTGGTAATATAGTTTCATATATGGTATATATACGAAAAGGCCTCTATGGGTATCACATTGTGTATCATTTGTGTACGACATATGTATCAATTGTGTATCACATGTATATCCACGTACATCTGTGTGTGAGATACATGCGTGATACATGTGTCGCAAAAGGATTTTTTGAACTCGATTTAATTACGAATCTTTATACAAAATCAGTCTAAATCACCTCCAATCTTCCTCAAATTTTGTATATTGACTTATCTATATGTTTTCAATGAATTTCAATTATACCCATTGAAAAAGTTCTTTTTTTGCTTAGATTTTTAGAATATTGTATATATATTTTTTTGTATTTCATCACGTTATTTGGTACCTCATTCATCAAATTTCCTTTTCGTCTTGCATCTAATGTTGTTAATCATGCTTAAAAATATGGAATGTGATTTTTGCATGTGATTCTTTAAGAGAAAGAACCTTATATATTTATTTTTTTCAATTTTTATAAGTACTTGACTAGTTTTGGTAAGTTTATGACTAATGGCTAGAGGTTGGTAAGTTGAGACTTATTTGGAACATTTGTGTAAGTTTCCCAAAAAAGAAAAGGAGAAGGAAGTGAACCCTTTACTCGAAAAGTAGGAAAATAAGGAAAAGAAAAGAACATTTTGTTTTCAGTAGGTATTCTGTATTTATATTGAGGTCCAATTAATCCGAACTCCAGCCGTATAAAGCTCATTAAAGAAATTTTAGAAAGGAAAAGAAAAGGAAACCCCACATGATTCCGACCTATTGTCTTGGGCCAAATCCAGAAAAGCCCAAAGACTTTGAGAAATTGGTGACACTTCCTCTAAAATGTCCTAATGCCATTTACTTCCCTTTTACTCCTATTTTAGAAAATTATTATCTTGCATTATATAAGAAAAGATCATATCAATCATTATAGGTAAGCAAAAATCTTAGTGCTCATTCTCACATAGAATATTTCAAACATTTCACTTATATACTTAGTCAATTTAAGAGAATGTTAACTAACATTTTATAATCTAATAATAGTTTTTGCTTTTTATTCTGTTTACAAGAAGACACTATCTTTTCAGCTTCTTTTCCGCTGTATAAAAATAATTTTTCTTTCAAAAACTTAGCAAAACACCCAAAGTATTCAAAATGAGCCTTTTGAATTATTGAAACATAAGAACAATTAGTTTCCCAAAATTTTGACCAAATCAAGATAAAAAGCATAAGCTAGCGGTTTATTTAAATGCTTAATCATTTCGTAATATACTTAATCAATTACATACCAAAACTGAATGCATGTCCATATGCCCAATAATAAACTAAATAGTTATGTAGTACTTATAACAGAACCCTAAGCTTAAGTTTCTATTCTGCAACTCTATTCAGTTCTTGAGTAACATTATTATGCAGCCCTTCTTTACCCTCCAACATCTTATGTGGAGGGTAAAAGTGAAAGTTTAAGGCACCATCCCCACTTACATAAACAACCTTAAAAACATCATACTTCAAATCAAGTGAAAATCCATCAAAATAAGGAAGAACACTCCTAGAATCTTGATTCAAGATGTAATTGTAGCAGCATTGCAACGATTTCCACACGAAAATGGCAGCAACCTTTGGTATGGTTTGACACTTTAAGCAAACTCCAGCAACCGCGCCATCCATCTTCTGGAACCGGTCCTTGAATATGGCTAAGCACGTGTATGAAAAATGTTCGATTGGCATGTCATGATGATGGGAAGAAGAGGCCGCGGAGTTCATGGAAACTATGTCCCCTGTGTAGAACTTCGCGGCCGGGGAATGATCCTTTGATTCTCCAGCATATGCATCATAGAACCCATGTTCCATTAGGATTGCCATGCTTGATACATTTGTCAGCATTGAGAGCTAATAATGAAAAGAAAAATGGAGGAATGTTAGAAACTATGTAGCAAGGATAAAAGAACCTTTAAGTAATACACAAAGATTATAACTTTCACTATTTTCCTCGATCTCTTGTTTAAAAGTGCTGCCCATTGCACTAAGCTCCCGCGTTCGAGGAAGGGCCAGACCACGAGGGTCTATTATACGCAACCTTACTCTATATTTCTGCAAAAGACTATTTCCAGGCTCGAACCGGAGGTCAAATGGCAGTAATTTTACCAAGTACGTCAAGTCAAGGCTCCCTCTTGTTTGATTGGCATAAAAAGATAAAAAGATGAGAAAATGGCAAGAGGGAAAGTACTTCATATTTAAACGGAAAAGTTTTTGCATTGGAGTTATAAGTTATATGAATTGATAGCATATAAATTATACATCATTAAGCAAAATTTATATATAATAGTAAGTAACTTTTTATATCAAGCCTGATATGATAACCTAATTAAGCTAAAAAAATAATAAAGAAGTAGAAGCATCGTTGTATTATCTAACTTACAAGAGCATCAAGTAAGTCCTTATTCTCACTAGATCTCTTTATCCATGCTCCATACCATACCATCTGTTCTCCAAAAAAAGATAGTATAAATTACATATCAAATTCATATAAGCTAGAAAACAAGATTACATAATATACCTATATACTCCTCTTCCTTGCCTCTACCTCCCGGGGGGGGGGGGGGGGGGGGTTTTNNGGGGGGGGGGGGGGGGGGAAGCTTTATGCACATATACACATTGTTGACATAAGGAAAGCTTAGTAATTTGCTCACATTCTTGCATTATTAATCCCCTAATTAAAGGCATAGCATTCTTGTATTTGCTGCAATCACCTTATTTAAATTTCTGAGTCTGCCGTTGTTCTTCTGTTTCTTTTGAAAAACATCTTGACCAAAACGATTAAAAACACTTGATTCATGTCAAACCATTTTATTTCCAAAATTTTGAAGGAAAAAAAAAAAATTGAAACTCCAATCCTTTTTCCAAGTATTCCAAAAACTTAAAAAAAATCAAAGTTTTGAGTAAAAACTATATAACAAACACAATTATGGTGTTTGTCTACAAATGACCTAAAGCCCACAAAGTAAGGGAAGTTAGTGGGGGGGGGGGGGGGGGG